ATAAGTTGTAAGGTCTCAGTATAGTTACAACGGCTGCCACACCCTTCAAACCGAAATGCATTACTGCTTCACGGCAGAAATAGGCAGGGCGGTGGTACCTACCCGCGCGGACTCACAACAGGTCCTACCACCGGTAATTACGCAAATTATAATTTTGCGGGTTTCACTTTTATTACACGATGTTATTCCTTCACCGTGGAAGTCAATGGTGAACTTTGTTGAGTACGTATTTCATTAGAAAAATTGGTACCCGCCTGCGGGATTCGAACACCGGTGCATCGCTTCAACACGAATGCACCGGACGTCTTATCTTTTAGGCCACGACGACCTCTAGATAGTATAAATTAGCATGCGTGAGTTTCCCAAACGAACGTCATAGTCTGAAGGTTTTCAGGCTTGACACAATAATATTATTAATTCATTCTCGATGTCCCCTTATATGGATAGGCCATTGTTCGCACGGAAACAAACAAACAAAACCTTTTAAATTGATCGACATGTACTAAGCGAGTTGTAGGTTTTCGTATTGTTGTTATAAAAAAATTGAGGCAAACGTTTTTCTCTTTTCATTTTAATGTTTGAGATCGTTCTTGTTGTTACGAGCTACGGTTGCTACGCGGAGTTTATTGGTTTTCTCTTATGCATTCCGAATTCCTAGAATGTTCTAGAATTGTTGTTGATATTTGGTGTTTTTATTCACGGTATGAGCACGTCTTGCGAGTCGCCACAGGACTGAGTCCTGCCGTGATGTTTGATGTTTCGGCTTGAAGGGTGAAGCAAACGTTGTATTGTAAGAACTGAGACTTAAGAACTCATCGGGGTGGGTGGTGGTAATTGCTTAAGGCTTAAGTAATGCCTTCCGACTTCAAGACAACACAGTCGCAAACTCAAAGTACTTTTGCTTCAAGGAGGCCGTGGACTGTGAACTCCAAGGACAGGCCTCTCAAAGCTTGACCCGGCAGAAGAATGTGTAATATAATGGGACTGCGACACATTGCTTGTACGAACTGAACCGCCATCGTATAACCTTTTTCGATACTTATCTTATATCTTTAAACGAGCAATTCTTATATAATAATATTAATATATATATATATATAATCTGAATCTCGGAAACGGCTCCAACGATTTTCTCACGCTGAAATCTCTACTTTCCGATGGAGAAAAAAATATATGTTACTATAGTAAATCTTCTCAGAAAATGCAAAACAATCGAAGGTATCAAAAAAGTTTTTTTTATATTTTTAGCTGTTTTTTATGTCTCTTAAGATATATTTTGAATGTATCTAAAATATATTTAAAATATACGAAATATACATGAAAATCGGCCAAGTAATATGTAATAATTTTACGTAAATAATCAACAGAATAATTAAGATAAACAATGATTAATATTACCTATTAAGTTTGTATTAAAGTAGGTCAAGACGATTTGTAATAACGTACAAAATATAACATGTTTTTTTATCATTCATTGACCACGATCTCAGAGCGTTCGTTTGCGCAGTACACTAACTCTTATGCAAACAACCACGGAATAGATAAATAAGGTTGGAATGGTAATGTAGGCGGGGCAAGCGTGCCACAGTTATGATTCTACAATCATAACTCGACCGATTCTTTCATTCACCGCGCTTAGTGCGCTTCGGACTACTTGGGGAAACAGATCTCCGCTTTATAATGCCGTGTTGTGCAATTATAACTTGTAAAACAAAAAGTCAGACCTCAAGTATAGAGCGAGGAGGTATATCTTTCGATCGGCAAGTCGAAATTACCATTTAATTACAATATTATTTGTCTAAAACATAAAAATATACTGAGCATTATGAAATTCCAAACATTAACAACATTATTGCAACAAGTTATAAATAACATACATTGCGCGATGTGTACTCGCCCAATGAACGCAATGACCAAGTCCGCTTCCAATGTACTACATGCATTGCGTTCTCTACACTTCAATCTTTGAAATTTCGGCCTTTGCCCTGATTGGCCGTGGTGCACGGCGCTAGCTTATCGATATTGAGGTGACCATATGGTGAAATAAAATCATCGACAGAATTCTCGACTATATTTACATTTGACATGGATAATTTTTCTATTATTTTATATTTAATTAATGATACCTAGTATATTCTTAGTGAGACGTATTTTGAGTCAAATAAATATGTATTATTATTATTATTGAATTATTATCATTGAATTAATGTGAAGGTATAATATAAAGGGACATGTAGACCTGGTGGTAGGACCTCTTGGGAGTCCGCACGGGTAGGTACCACCACCCCGCCTATTTCCGCCGTGAAGCAGTAATGCGTTTCGGTTCGAAAGGTGGGGTAGCCGTTGTAACTATACTGAGATCTTAGAACTTATATCTCGAGGTGGGTGGCGCATTTACATTGCAGATGTCTATGGGCTCCAGTAACTACTTAACACCAGGTGGGCTGTGAGCTCGTCCATCCATCTAAGCAATAAAAAAAAAAAAAGACCTCTCATTTACGGGTATTTACTATATTGTCTAAGACGTATTAAAATCTAAGTAAAATGCTATTTGACTTATGCAATAAATTATAAATTTTAGGTTTCCTAAAGAACCTAACGCCAGGGAACAATGGATTGACGTGACAGGTAGAGGAAACTGGAAACAAAGGCGAGTACTATTTGCTATCAACATTTTACTGAAAATGATTTTACCATAAAAAAATCAGGCTACACTTTGTTTGGAAAAATTTATTCGCAATTAATAGCAAGCGCCAACTGCTTAACAAATACGTTTTATTCCAGGGACAGTGATTATTTGTAATTAATAAAAGTAAAATCGTTTTTATTTTCAATATTTATTTCACGTTTCATTTTTCCCCATTCATTCATCAGATAATTTATCGATAAAGAATATTGGTTTTATCAAGCACTAGCGTGTATGAACATTTTTATTGCCTTTTTGTGTGTGTGAGTGCGTATGCCTACGGGAGTTTTGTGCTAGTTTGCGAACGAATATCTACCCTGAGATTTATGTGTGGGTGTTTTTGTTGTGTGCGAAATACTTGTAATCATAGTACGTGTATGTGTAAAAATTAAAATAGTGGGGATGAAGCGGCGACACTGGTCCTAATACAAAATCAGAGCAAAGGCCTTTCCAACCTTATTTATCTATTCCGTGCAAACAACCGTGAATGAAGTGTACCATAATAAGTTCGCACGTTACCGAATGACCGTGGGTTGTTGCGAAACCTCCAGTTTTATTTTATTTATACCTCGAATAGAACTTAAAATTAATATTTTTATAATAAGGAACTTCGTTCCTATCCGATGTCCCACGACACCACACATCTTTTTTATTATAATTACGTTCAGAATTATAATTATACAGTTTTCGTGGTCACTGACCGCTGCCGGCGTCCTCGATAACGAAAACTGTAAATTATTCCAAACGTCAGAAATAATATCGAAGAGTGAAAGACTATTTATTTGTTTAAGCGACATTTGTACAACTTTACAGGAGAGCCATCAAATTTTTTATTTTTATTTACTGGTGGTAGGACCTCTTGTTGCTCTAAGGTAGACCTAAGAAGAAATGGATGGATTGCGTGAAAGACGATATGGGTAAGAGGGGAGTGAGCGAAGAAATGGTATATGACAGAAGAGTATGTATCGAGCGCGTCAGATTAAGATATATATGGTTCATATTTATGTCCTAGACGTGCTGTCTCATAATCTGACGATTATCTAGAGGGATTCGCCTAATCTGAAAAAAAAATTTTTTTTCTTATACACACACACTTCATATTAATATCACTCATAGTAAATATTTAATTTTTTAATTCACATAACTTATATTAAAATAACAAAAAATGCCAAAACGTTGGAAATACTGTTAATAATATTATGCCGCGAACGAGTCTGTGTCAGAGGGGAATAGAAACGCAGAGAGGGGAATATATAGGCATCACGCGCAGCGGCACGCACTAAACTTTATCGAGGAATTTTTGTTACTTCTGCTTGTGGAAATGGTCAGATTACATATTTTTTGTTATCCCTGAATTATTTACTACAAAATAATAATAAAAAATCAGCCACGCTCGAGAATGTCAAGATGACGCTTTTTTTTTACAACTTTTCCGCCCTCCCCTTTCTTTACGTCACTGTCAAATTGTCAGATTAGTGAAATATACACTTTTTAACATGTAATTAACTCGCCCTAGCTTAATCTGATGCGCTCGAGATTTTCGGATGATCGATTTTTTTTTACTAATCTGATCCTTTATCCTTGACGCGCGGCCTTATATATGGAGCTCATATTTGGTGGAGGTACTCAAACGGGTACAAGATATCCCCCTGTACATTAATCTGCCGCGCTTTAGTAAATCCCGAAATTCCCGCTCGGGCTCCCCTACTATAAATATTGGACAGTTACTTTACTTAAAAATACATGGAGAGGTACGATTTGAGCTTCGGCAAAGTCCCATCACTCGATACGAACACACCGGGGGTATCTTATCTTATCTTCATATCGTAAAATAAAAATACTCGCATCCGTGTTACATAAAAGCAAAACTGCAAAGCATCTGTCTCATTATTATTGCCAATAATGTGTACAAACCCGTCACTTTCGCCCAGATAGATCTGTTGCGACTACCACTTTGGTCCAGTCACAAATTAGACTACTTTGCTGGAACAGATACTCTTCACCGCCTCAGGCTAGAGAATGTTCATTAATGAAGAGTCAAACAGAACATTCTTTCTCCTCCTCGCCATGCTCGCTAGCAAGATCAGCTTCTGGGTGGACCTTCGCAGCTAAACTTGGGCATTAAATAAACCGACACAAGCATTGACATCTTGCTTACATCTGTCACGAAGCAGCCATACTCCAATTTGATGGGCGGGACAGTCATTCTAATTCAATCTTGGCTCTGCCCCTGGAATTGCTGAAGTCTATGGGCGACGGTAACCACTCACCATCAGGTGGGCCGTATGATCGTCTGCCCACAAGGGCAATAAAAAATAAATAAATAAATGTTGCCTTAGTATAATCCAGTCTAGTCTGTTATCTAGCCTTAGTATTATTGTTTCAATAGGCAGACTAGTATAAGGCCTGTCCGGCGGTGAGTGATAACCTCTCACGGATATCCAGCAATGCCACGGGAATAGGCAAGTCGCTGCCTACCTATATAATTTCATATTTTAATCATTTCTAGGTTATCGTCGACTTCTAGTTTGGGCAAAAAATACTGTCACTGCTTTCCACTGAGGATTGGTTGCTTCATCCTTGGTTACCTGACCATGGTATGTATCTACTGTTGTATCTCTTATTTCCTTTGACATAAAGAAAGAAAGATACATACAAATATAAGTAAGATTTATCAATCCATTTATTGTAAAACATATTATCCAGACGTGATATATTAATGTATCGGGATTTGTGTTAAAAGAATTAAAAATATTCGGTTTTATTTAGTAGACATAGTTCCACATTTAATTTTATAAATACGACAGCCATTTTGTCTGTTATGTTTTTTACGTTCGAACCACAAAACCGATTTTAACGAAATTTGGTATGGAATGGGAGTTCTGCAAAAAGAAATAGACCTTGTTTCATCTCAATCCTTATCTGAGTTGGCTTATCTTAGTCGACGCCACATTCACAGCTTCTGCGAATTGAACACTGTTGTAAAATAAATGATAACAAAAAATGAAAAAAACAAATGTAGCTAAAATGGTGATTTAGTTTAGTTTGTTTAAATTTTGTTTAGTATTGTTTATAACTATTTCTAATCGATTTAATTGAAATTTTCTGTTGTTTTTATTCGATTGCCCTTTGAGAGTCCTGTCTCAAGTCGCGTTGCTTAATTTACAATGACGTAAACGGTATTCGCTTTTCACTCTGGGATATTCCAAATTATAGTCTGTCAACTAACGCGGTTAAAAAACCAGGCCACAGAGAACATTTTTTTGTTTTTGTTGCCACATTATTCTGAATCATAAAAGCAATATACTTACGTATGTTAAGTCTTAGAGCTAAGCGATCAATGTATTGCAACCGCAAATCATTAGAAAAGCCTTGTAGGGCTGCTTGAACAAAACTTTGAATTCCGAACGGCACACTAAATATTCCTAGAGAATATAGAGATACATAGTGCAGAATGTTATTTTTTATTTTTATTATGCATACAAAATACTTTAACTAAATAAAAATAACATTACACACACTACCATGTATTAGAAACACGCACGCATGCATGCTATTTGTTTATTGTCAAAATTTTCTTATTGTATAAAATCTGTGGTCAAATTGAGAATAGCTTATATTGTTTGTCTGTATTAATATTTGTCTAAAGTGTAGTCTTAGCGAAGTCTGTGATTATACCTAGTCAGGTCATAAATTCTGTCACATGTTTAATGTAAAATAATTGAAACAAGTTTATTCATTATGTAACCATTCATATACCAAAATGAACTTAACAAAACATAGATTCTTATGACACTAAAGTTTATTCAAAATGACCTCCGTGATTTTGAATACAGGCCTTCAATCTGCGTGGCCAGTCGTCTATCGCAGCACGAACGAGGTCCATGTCAATATCGGCGGCTGCCTTAATCAAGGATGTCTTGAGTGACTCCAAATTGGGATGAGGCTTTGAGCACGCCTTTTCCTCCAAGTGTTGCCATATCTTGTAATCTAACGGATTCAAATCTGGACTGGAGGAGGGCCAGTCTTCGTGCCGGATGAAGTCGATTTCACGCGCCGCCAGCCAGTCTTGTGTGCTCTTCGCTCTATGAGCTGGCGCCGAATCTTGTTGGAATACCCAGTGCCTGTTATTGAACATGGTATGAGAAACAGGTTCCACAAGGTTCGTCAGGACTGTATTTTGATACACAACTGCATTCGTTTTTACACCTTTCTCACAAAAATGTACCTCTGTTAAGCCCCAATAAGAAACTCCCAACCATACCATGAGCGAGGATGGAAAATGACCTCGTTGGACACGCGGAATACGGTTGCTCGCTTCTTCACTACTGTGTGCGTACACCTTATCATTTTGTTTGTTGTAGCTCTCTTCTACGGTAAAAATTTTTTCATCCGAAAAAAGAATTTCCCGATATTTTTTTCCCGCGTACCGCTTCAACAAAGCGCGGCATCTCTTCAGTCTCAGGTCCATTAGACGAGCATTCAAACGATGTCCTGTTTTTCTTCGATATGCCCGAAGCCCTAAGTCTTCATTTAACACCCTTTTCACCGTGGTTCTGCTTAACCCCATCTGAAGGGCCAACAGTTTCTGCTTACGTTTGGGATTTCTTTGAATTCGCGCCTTCACAGCTTTTATCACTGCTGGAGTCCTAACAGACCGAGGGCGACCACTTCTTGACCTGTCATCTACACTAGAGTCTTCATTGTATCGTTTGATGGTACGATAAACGAATCTTTTGGTTATATTCAAATTTTTCAGTATGTTAAAAATTTGAATTGGCGCGTAACCGCAACGATGCAACGCAATAACTGCAACACGGTCTTCTTTAAGCGTCCACTCCATATTTAAAAATGAGTAAAATTCTAAAAGTATACATTTTTATTTTTATGAACAATTCGAAATTCGAATTCAATAAACTTTTTTGTGACTAGTTAGAAGTATAAGAGTCTTTGACAATAGAAGCATAATAGTGTGCAAACTTATGATTTCAATTAATTATATTATAGTCGAATTTCGACTACCGGGGGCCCATAATAATTTTATGTGGCACATGAAATCAGTGTCCGTCTGGTATTATATGGCATAGACCAAGGATGAGCAGCACGCGGCCCGACAAGCATTTCTAATATTGAATTTATTTTATCGACTCTCTTTCCCATTAATTCGTTTTTCTGATCTTTTTTATTTGTTCTTTTTAATAAAGAAATAAAGTTTCGTAAATTATTAATAAGAGTTAATCCATGTGCAGCCCGCCAAAAATAATTAAAAATTAAATTGGCCCATACGTAACGTAACGTGGGACGCCCCCTGGCTAGGTGGTGCGATGACCTCCGAACGGTGGTCGGCAAGAAGTGGATGAAGAGAGCCGAAGACTGGGCTGAGTGGTGTGGGTTGGGAGAGGCCTATGTCTAGCAGTAGACGACAGTGGACTGTTTGGCAAAAAATTGTCCCATTGATTAAAAAGGTTGCTCACCCCTAGCATAGACAACACACAGTCTATATTGCCTGATCTAGTCTGAGATATTTTGATAACCTATTCGTAATTCGTTTCTTTTCAACAGTTCACCAATGTCTGCAATACCGGGCTGTTGTTTACTCTGACCACTTACATTGGAGCTGATACCAGTACCTTACCCGCCCTGCAGTCCTCGGAGACGCCCCTCATCAGTGGGATCGAAGTCGTGCTTCTGATGACAGTAATAAATGCTGCATGGTTGCTTGTCAATATCGCTTGTGTGATCGGACTACACAGGGTATGTGCTTTCCATCATTTATTTTAATCATATCATTACACACTGCTACAGAACAGTTGAGATGTACATAATAAATAAATAATAATAAAAGTGTGTGTGTGTGTGTGCAAGTCACACACGGTAGAAGTGAAACTTATAATTAAGACATAGATATACTGACTATCCCACTACATAGGAGCATACATATGGACAATGTTTAGTAGACGATAGTGGGGATGCTGCGAAGAGTCGCACAAAGAGGAGACCGAGAACGTCTAATGTGTTCTATCTCATTCTCTCGCCGGCTGAGTCCTATACGTGTTTGTGTTTGTGTCTCTATGGACTTATTTTTTCGTTTCATCGAGTTTGAAATCACAACGATTCTAAAGAAGGTTCACTTCAATAATCCCCATGTTATTAGTACTAGAGACTGATATACTTTTTTATATTTATTTATTACAAGTATAGTTATAACGGCTGCCCCACCCTTCAAACCGAAACGCATTACTGCTTCGCGGCAGAAATAGGCGGGGTGGTGGTACCTACCCGCGCAGACTCACAAGAGGTCCTACCACCAGTAAAAATACATGTTGATATACGTCTACATATATACATGTATGTATATATATATAGATAGTAAAGACAGACAGAGACCCAGACAAAAAGCAAACAAACTTATCCATCACATAATGTTTACCCGATGTGGGAATCGAACCCACGACCTTGAGTGCAACAGTTAGGGGCACTAAAGACTGCATCACCGAGTCAGTCATAAATATAAACACACTAGCTTTTGCCCGCGGCTTCGTGCGCGTGGAATAGTTTACAAATAATGCTTTATTTTAGAACAAATTTGGTTAGCATAAAAAACGTTATAGTGAGCCAACCTTAACATATAGACATTTGCGTTGCATATTTTTTTTTTTAGATCTTTTAAAGGCGAACAATTCTCTTAAACATTATTTTAGCGAAACTTTAACCGTTTCTGCAACGCTCGCAGCGGAAGCTCTCAGAAGGAAAAAAAACCCGATTTTGAAACACTCTCTATTGGTGCTTCGCTTGTATTGGTCTTAGCGTAATGTTCTATAGCCTATAGCCTTCCTCAATAAATGGGTTAGCTAACACTGAAATAATTTTTCAAATCGGACCACTATATAGTTCCTGAGATTAGCGCGTTCAAACAAACAAACTCTTCAGCCTTATAATATTAGTATAGATGATGAAAATCTCAAATTGATAAATTACCGATTCTCTGATTTTGGTTTGGCTCGAATGGTATAGTACGCTAGGCACGCCGGTAGGTCGCAAAGGTTTCAATATGTTAAGGTCGATTTAGGATACAGTGCAGCTGAATCATACAATAATCGACAAAAAATATCGAGCTTGTTTTTTGCCTAATATAGCACTAGTCGGCAATGCGCTTTCAGAGATCTTTTTGGCCACATGCGACCCGGGTCTGGAAGTGTGATCTGTAAGCATAGTCCAAAATAAGAACAAGTATATTGAGCACCTGTGAGCTGGCTTCCTATGCCCCGAACACTTTAAACCAGGTTTGAAAAGTCGTTAGCTCGTCTGTTTAGTCTCGTCTAGTTTAGTCTCGTCTAACATTCTATAATTAAAAAATATTTTTACTTTCTACGTGAATTTAGTGGGTAAAATTTAGCGTTATGCCAAAGTAATTATTACACGCGGACGGAGTCGCGGGCAAAGGCTAGTGAATTTATAAAATGCGATAATTTGCACGGAAGATAAAAATTAGCGACTTTTACCTAGTCTAGTTTTTGTGATATTTTAAAACGCCTTTAAAAACCTTGATAAAACTACAAGTTTCCATTGGATTCGAAGCCCCCGCTGTTCTGTTCGGCTAAGGACCACATGGCTCACTTCCATATTCGTTTTCTTTGATAGCTGCAATCTGTGGCTTGTAGGAAGCGTTTACGTTGGAACCCTCACGCGGCTCACGGGTGACCCTCATTGACTGAACGGTTCAGTAGGACAAGGCTCAGCGGTGCGCACCGTGGCCAGAATGAAAATACTCGATTTTTCATGAGGCGTTCAACGTGTCTGTCGTGGCGTGCAACTTCTTTGACAGGACATTAGAACTACGACGATTAGACATAGACACAGACTAAGATAGAGGCTTGACAAGAATTCGAAAAGAAATGGAACGAGGGCGTTCGTGACTAGCGGCAGGCAGTACATTTTTGATTTCTTAAAAGACGGACAAAAAGACGACAAGGAACGAACCGACCGTTCTCATATACATATAAAAATAGTCGACAAAAGAACGAACCGACCGTTCAGTGTCAAATTTGAATTTAGACTCTGTATAGGCCGGGAGCTCACCTGTCTGATACAATTGTAAAGACAATAAAAATGTTCTATTTCAGAGGCGTCCTGGTAACATCAAGTTCTACGTCCTCTTCGCAGCCTGCCGCCTCGTCCTGGTCTTTGCTGGGTTAGTGTACCTGACAATAACCGTCAGGAGTCCAGCTTTAATGTTACACCGCTTGGACATTGGTGAGTTGAAAATATGTTTTGAATCGTGCTATACTGAATTTTCGGGGCGGAAAAGTCCTTGAGTGGCGACCGCGTACCGGAAGACGTAGCGTGGGTAGGCCTCCCACAAGTTAGATCGACGACCTACTGAGGCTCGCGGGGATCTGCTGGATGCAAGCAGCGCTGGACCGATCTTTGTGGCGTGGCATGGGGGAGGCCTATGTCCATAGTGGACGTCTGTGGGCTGATGGAATAGAAAAGAATAGTACATCTTTGGCATTACACGTGATATCCGAAGTCGTCGTGGCCTAAACGATAAGACGTCCGGTGCATACGTGTTGAGCGATGCACCGGTGTTCGAATCTCAGGCGGGTACCAATTTACTAATGAAATACGTACTCAACAAATGTTTACGATTGACTTCCACGGTGAAGGAATAGCATCGTCTAATAAAAATCAAACCCGCAAAATTATAATTTGCATTATTACTGGGGTTTTTTTTTATTTTATTGCTTAGATGGGTGGACCAGCTCACAGCCCACCTGGTGTTAAGTGGTTACTGGAGCCCATAGACATCCACAACGTAAATGCGCCACCCACCTTGAGATATAAGTTCTAAGGTCTCAGTATAGTTACAACGGCTGCCCCACCCTTCAAACCGAAACGCATTACTGCTTCACGGCAGAAATAGGCAGGCATAGACATATAATAAAATAGTTTCCCGTGGGAACCAGATCTTTTTCGGGATAAAAGGTAGCCTATGTTACTGTCCTGACGTAAAACTGTAATTTAAAAAAGCATTATGGTCATAGTAGCACCTCGCGCGCCTTTCTCAAGGCGTAGTCTCCCGTCCGGAATTGGAAGAAGAGGAGGAATTCGGTCTTTCTCCTTCTGCTTCTTTGGAGGAAACTTGAGTCCCACATAGCTCAGTCTGTTATCCCTCTCGACCGAGTATCCGTAAACGATATCCCACCAAAAAACATAAGGTACAGATATAGCAAATGTGGTGCCGTAGATTTTAATACGACTTTTTTTGACTACAGTTGTAGCATCTTTCTTCATCATGGTGTACAATACCTACGCCAGACAGCTGGAGAATGAGCCGCAGCAAATTCAAGCCCGACCTGAAAACCAGATCAGGGACGTGTCATTCATCGATCCTCGCACAATGGACGACAACAAACACATTCTGGCTTAATTTACTATTTTTAAGGCCACTGTAACAAAAAAAAGTGTTTTTCTATTACTATTATTAAAATACTAAATAAAGTACAAAAGTAAGACGGAGTAAGTATATTACTTTAATTAATTTAATTAATCACTGGTGGTAGGACCTCTTTGGAGTCCGCACGGGTAGGTACCAACACCCCGCCTATTTCCGCCGTGAAGCAGTAATGCGTTTCGGTTCGAAGGGTGGGGTAGCCGTTGTAACTATACTGAGATCTTAGAACGTATATCTCGAGGTGGGTGGCGCATTTACGTTGTAGATGTCTATGGGCTCCAGTAACCACTTAACACCAGGTGGGCTGTGAGCTCGTCCATCCATTTAAGCAATAAAAAAAAAAACACCTGTATCTGTGATAAAAAAAGATCTGCTAAGCCTAGGTTTGACTACGATAATAGTCGAGGTCAGAGTTATTTGGAAATTTATATACCTACTCGCTACTGCCCAAAAAAGTGGCAACGTATCTAAAATGAACATTCTACAAAAGAATAAGGCGAATTTATGGCGGCTGTTCAGGGATAAAAACAGCATAAGAATTAGCCAGTAAGCGCGATGCATTGTGAGGGAACTGCTTCCCCCAAAAATAGGACTGATTCTCTTCACTTAACGAATAATTTTTTTTCTGTTCAGACATATTTAGTTACTAAATTACTCGCGTAGTCCGAACTAGGTTTGAAGACAGTCGAAATAATAATTAAAAAAATATATATGTGTTAGTAAGTAAGAGCATTGATACTTATTGATTCGTGTCAATTTAAAAATTTACCTCAGTTATGTACACTTAATAAAATAAATGTATGGAAAAAATGTGTTTTTTATTTTTTTGGTTTTTTGTTCGTTCAATTTTATTAATATTTAAGAAATCTCCCAAATCATTTCAATTGAAACATTTAGCAAAACTGAATTTTGAAACTGGTAATCGTGATACGATACGACTAAAAAGTCGTGAACAAGAATAAAATGGCCCTCATCGGACATCCGGTAAACGTGAAACATCACATGTCGTCGTGGCCTAAAGGATAAGACGTCCGGTGTATTCGTGTTGAGCAATGCATCGGTGTTCGAATCTCACAGGCGGGTTCCAATTTTTCTAATGAAATACGTACTTAACAAATTTTCACGATTGACTTTCACGATGAAGCAATCACATCGTGTAATAAAAATGAAACCCGCAAAATTATAATTTGCGTAATTACTGGTGGTAGGACCTTTTGTGAGTCCGCGCGGGTAGGTACCACCATCCTGCCTATTTCTGCCATGAAGCTGTTATGCCCTTCGGTTTGAAGGGTGGGGCAGCCGTTGTAACTACTTGAGACTTTAGAACTTATATCTCAAGGTGGGTGGCGCATTTACGTTGTGGATGTCTATGGGCTCCAGTAACCATTTTACGCCAGGTGAGCTGAGAGCTCGTCCACCCATCTAAGCAATAAAAAAACGTCGTCTTTCGAAAGAGTAACTCGGTGATGGACGACCGCAACTTTTCGATTCACAAATATTCTGAAACTAGAGGTATTGAAATTAAGGAGTCTGGTAAAAAATAAAAATAATAAATAAAAATACATTTCTTTCGTTCCACTCATCTCACAAATCTCATTTCCGCATTATATATTAAAAAATAATAATTCCGGATCGATACAAACTCACAGTTTTGCTGACGCTTCCGAGAAGAGTTTCAGAGCATGTGTATGTTACAAAGATCAAGACGACTTCATTCAAACTCACCTGATTATAGCCAAAACTCGCGTCGCACCGTTGAGCGTGCATCTCACTATTCCTCGCCTCGAACTAAAGGCGGCAGTCCTCTTATCTAAATTAATTGAAAAGGTAATGCTCACTTACAGTGGTCGTTTTCGCTTCGACCAGGTTTACGCTTGGTTCGACGCATCCGTCTTGCATGCATGGCTACACTCATCTCCGCATGAATGGAAAACCATCGATTCGAACTGTGTCAGTGAGATTTTGCGCCGCGTACCCGCGGACCGCTAGTACCACGTCCTGTCGGCCGACAAACCCGCGGACGCTGCGTCTAAGAAGCATGACTTATGGTACCACGGACCCTCGTGGCTCCATCTTGGTCAGAACTCCTGGCCGATTCAAAATCCCGTAAGGGACACGTGTGAAGAAAAACGCAACGTATCAGTGTGTTCCAGCGCATCAACGGCACCGCCTATACAAGATGTTGATTTTATTACGCGATTTGCGTCGCTCGGGAAACTTGTTCGTGTCACCGCACTCATCTTTCGGTTTCTCAACCATTAATTTTACTTAAAAAAGGGTGCGTGTACTTATGTACGCGCGTAAGAAGTTATACTTTATTTTTATTAAATTTATTTCTTTTTTTTTATTTAAATTTTAATCAATTTGAAAAAAAAATCGATTAAACAACATCCTCAAACACGCATATTGGACATCCCTTTTATTGACATCGTATAAATTCGGTAATTCTCGGTACGGTTCGGAAAGTTCACCTGCGGCTATATTCAGACTCGCCAAGTTACGTCGGTCGTATTGTAATGAGCGATTTAGTGGGCAACTTCATTCTGTTAATTTTGTGTCACGGTGCGCGCGCATCGTAAAATTTCACTATCATCAATTTTTCATAACGCGCCTAAAGAAGTTTATCCTCAAAAACACCTTTTAACTAATCTTATTATTGACGATGCACACTTATGTAATTTACATGCCGGATCGCAGTCTGTTCGCCACGCGCTTTTACAACGCTGCAGCGCATACATCGCTGTGTGCAGTGCTTCCGCGCTCGCCCGACGCACAGTCAACCGCGCATGGGACCGCTCCCTGCAGTGCGTCTTCGCCCCACGCGACCGTTTGTAAAGACCGCGGTAGATTTTGCTATAGTAGAGTTATTTTGTCGCTGCAGTTTGGGTCATAAAAAGTCGGAGCGGTAAAGCGAATATTTCGCTCTCTCTTCCACTCACGAGCCTTATGGACGGGCATAGTGATGCGCATTATTGTTGTCGATAAGCGTTATCGATAGTGTATTTAGTTTTGTCATTTATAGTCCATGTTACATGCGCGCCAATAAAGTGCGTAATGCAAAAATAATAAAATGTTACGTGTCAGTTTTCGTGTGTATGAGCGTTAAAGCGATACACCTCGAATTAGTTTCAGAGCTTTCCACAGAAGCCTTTATAGCAGCCCTGCGACGTTTCACGTCCTTTCGTGGCTTATGCACAGATATTTATTCAGACCGTGGAAAGAACTTTGTCGTCTATGACAACTATCTTAAGGAACTTTACGAGTTTTTACGAAGTGAATCCGTGCAAAGCACACTTAATCAACAAACCCTTCAACAGGGAATTACGTGGCACTTTCAACCTCCATACGCGAGCCATTTCGGAGGACTTCATGAGTCTGGGCTTCGTAGTTTTAAACACCATCTTCATCGCGTAGTAGGTAATCGCATCCAAACGTACGACGAGATGCATACGTTCTTGTGTCAGGTCGAAGCGATCTTAAATTCGCGTCCACTTTGCGTTTTAAGTTCTGATGCTTCGGATCCCCTTTCGTTAACACCTTCCCACTTTTTAATCGGAGAGCCCATGACAGCTCTGCCTGACATATCCTTGATAGATGAATCACCGATTCGTCTCACTTGCTGGCGCTGGATTCAAAAATCCATCCAGCACTTTTGGAAAAGATGGAGCAAAGAATACCTCCACGAGCTTCAGCAAAGTAACAAGTGGCTTCAGGACAAGGGCGTCGCCCTTCGTGAAGGCACTGTTGTGGTGGTATGCGACGACCGCTTGCCGCCGTAGCAATGGAAGTTGGCGCGCATCCACGCACTTCATCCCGGTTTAGACAATGTCACACGAGTTGTAACTATTAAAATGGGAAATTCCCTTTATAAACGACCCGTAGTTAAAATATGTCCTCTTCCCTTGGAGTAGTTGAAATCATTAGGAATTTGTTAGTTTTGATTAAGTTTTTAAGCTTTACGTCCTTTCAGTACTAGTTTTAACTTTTGAATATTAAAAGCAACTACGTGCTTTTAAGGTGAGCGGCATGTTCCGTCCTGTAACAGTTTGTTGTAAAATACATATTTATATTATTATTATTATTTATTGTGAATAATTACTTTTCTTTTTTTTTATTCTTTGAGTACCTACGTAACGCGACACAATTTGGTTTATATGTATTATTCATTTCTTATTTTTCTTGTACTGGGTCTGCGACATATTGTGTGTATCGGAATGCACCATTTCCGTGGGAAATGGTTCTTCGGCGCGACACTAGCGCCACCACTTGCCTGCCTGTTAGTGCGGCAAAACAACAGAAACAGAGTTTGTCACGCGAAGCCGCCGTAGCCGCATCGGCACGCGCATAATATTTAAATAGTGTAAAAAGTTTCCCCTTTCATATAAAAAACTGGAAGATAGTGACAGTGACCTATGACTTTCTACATGTGAAGGATAGATGAACTGATTCTGTCGCCAATACTGATCCTCGACCAGGACCTTCGGACGTGCTTGCGGGACGATTCACGGTAAGTCGTCAAACCTAGGCCATATCCTAAACACCGGCCTTCGATATAACCAGATTTAACCGTTATTTTTTACGAGCAGTCTAGAGACGTCCGCCGGTTGAATGCGTCCGTAACATTTACGTATTTTTGCGCGTGACATTTTTGAGAGGCCCTTTTCTTTCGTTTTTCAAGATTTATATATATATTTTTTTTTTTTTATTGCTTCGATGCGTGGACGAGCTCACAGTCCACCTGATATTAAGTTACTGGAGCTCATAGACACATACAAACTAAATGCGCCACCCACCTTGAGATATAAGTTCTAAGGTCTCAGTATAGTTACAACGGCTGCCCAACCCTTCAAACCGAAACGCATTACTGCTTCACGGCAGAAATAGGCGGGGCGGTGGTACCTACCCGTGCGGACTCACAAGAGGTCCTACCATCAGTAAGATTACTGCGGGATCACTAGTTATTAATTCATTCTCGATGTTATATGGATAGGTCATTGTTCGCACGGAAACAAACAAACAAAATTTTAAATTGATCGACATGTACTAAGCGAGTTGTAGGTTTTCGTATTATTGTTATAAAAATTGAGGCAAACGTTTTTCTCTTTTCATTTTAATGTTTGAGATCGTTCTTGTTGTTACGAGCTACGGTTGCTACGCGGAGTTTATTGG